GTCAACAGTCTTGGTCAACGCCTTGGTCAACGCTTGGTCAACGCTGCGGTCAACTCTCGGTCAACTCCCAATCAACTCCGATCAACTTCCGGTCATCTCCGGTCAACGCCCAGTCAGTTCTGGTCAACGCCCGATCATCTCTCCCTCCGGCTATGGCGGCCGGCTTCCCCTTCGTCGCCACCCTTCTCCATCCTTTCATCTTCCTCGCCTCCTTCTTCACACCGCTGTCTTCTCTTTTTCGTTTTTTTTTTTTTTGTTCTCGTCTCTCCCTTCTTCTTCCTCCGCTTCACTTCCCTCCTCGGTCTCTCCCGCAGTGCGCTCTTGCACCTCCTTCGTTACTCTGTGGTGGAGCTCCGCGGCTATGGCCTTCTTCTTCTTCTTCGTTGGACTGCACAACGGTCTTCACAAGTACGTGACAGCCAATTTTGTATTGCTCAATCTCTCTCTCTCTCTCTCTCTCTCTCTCTCTCTCTCTCTCTCTCTCTCGTCGTTGTCTTCCTTGCAGGTGCGCGCGACGACTTCTTCACCCTGCGGATCCGCTATGGCGGACTTCCTCTCCGGTGGCGCCTTCGGCTATGGCGCGCGACTCTCCCTGCGACACACGGCGATAGCGCGTGGAATAGCGGGTACCAGCTTCGATACCAATGCAATCAGACTCGCTTTCTTTCACAACTCACATGCATGTAAACAGGTAGCGCAGCAAACTGGCGACAAGCGCCCACTCAGAACTCAGAGATATCGTAACTAAGAACGCAGTTCAGATACAAGCTCACTTCAAACGGCTATGGTGCAACAGCGCCTGTACAATTCTCTGTTCGTGGCCAACCCAACTCTGCTGTTCACAGACACAGGATCACCCTGGATATCCCACACACGTTACTCAATACACACACGCACACACGCACTACACTCCTCTATCAGCTATGGCGGCTATGGCCGCTACTATCCCTATCGCTATGGCTCCGCTCTCCTTTCCGCCCACTTCCGTCTTCGGGCTCACTGCAGACCACCTCGCACAAGTTGCTGTGGCAGCGCTTCCGCATGGCTTACGCAGGAATGAATGAATGGCTGGGCGCTGCCTCTTGATTTATACTTCTGTAGCTCGTTGGTCTGCCCCTTTCCCATGCCCCTGGTGCACACAGTCCCACACTGTACTTGCTTGACTGGACTGTGACTGACTGGGACCGGTACCGCGGACTGCATTGGTTTGCACTGCCAACTCAATGCAGTCGCGTACCACAGTTCGGCTCACCACTTGCCCACTTGCCTCTGTCTCAACGTGAGCCAT